TTTTTTTTTTTTCATTAATTCTATCATCGTAGGATCTGCATGATTTGATGATTGAAATCTATATGTTTCTAAATATTTTATTTTAAAATGAAAAATTATTACACTCGCTGTGATATATTCAAACTTTCTCACGAGACAGACTAGTGATACGAAGTTAAACAAGTTATAAATATTGCAATTTCTTAAAATGTCTCTTAACACGAATTAACACGAGTAACTTTAATCCGTCACGTTCTTCACTTACCAATTCATAAATTACATCTACAAGGATCAAGACTGAGCAAACTAAAATCAATTCGTCTTTATTAATAATCAATTCTATAATGTAAAAGTCTTCGATCAAAAGGTAAGCCGCTTCGCAGGATAATGAGTAAAGATACGAATGAAAGCTGTCGAAAGTTGGCATTAAATCAGTGTAAATTTTGGTGAAAAGTTTCGCACCGTGCCGCAAGCAGATATCCCCTTTCGCAACAGCCACCGTGCCCCGGCGTGTCGAAATAATTGTTATTAAAAACCGTTGGACTGGCGCGCAGGACCAACGACACAGCCCCGTAAGCTCGTTTTCTCGAACCGAGCGAATCGGTTCCGTGCCATTATCCGGCACGTACCCCTTTTTTCAGGGGGAAGGGGGGCGCGTAACAGCGAAAGACGAAGGAAAGGGTGGCGAGGGAGGCTAGTCACAAGATACGATGATGGATGCGCGAAGGGTTGTTTCTCGCGCGCTGGAGGGAGGAGAGCCAAAGGGCCAAAGGGTTCTCCGGGGGCAGCCAATCGTGCACGATCTTCGGATACCAGCGTCCAATCATCGCAGCCACTTTTTATTCCTGTGGTAGTGGGGAGGATTCGGTCGTCCTTTGGGGCACGATTTCGTTGCGTCATTCTGACATTCGTTCTGTATCGGTGCTTCGATGAGGATCGCTGGGTTTCGTTATGATCCTCGGGATCCCGGCCGGTCGCCCTTGAACGTTGTACTAGAATATTCGGTTCGATTGGTTATGTGAAGCTTGATTATTCATATTATTAATGTATCGCTAGCGGTATAATTGACATCAGTGTTGATTAAGATCATTGCTACATTAGGCACCTGCATTAAATCATCATTGAGGACAGTGCTGATTATTATTAATTCATTATTCGCATTATAGTAACATTTCTTTGACAATTTTTAATTATTATCGGGCTTGGTAAGGTTGATTATTCGCGTTATTGGTATATTGATAACGTTGCAGTTGACTTCTTCCTAAGTTAAACAATTGTGGTTGCCGATCATTCGCGTTATTAATATATCTGTAACGTTGTAATTAAATATCAGTATTGATCGATCGTATCGTTAACATAGGTTAACATTAAAAATTTCTTCGATAAGTTTCAAACGTAGAATTATCATCGTCGTTGGGGTACCGATAATGAAATTTAACATATTAGTAGTTAAAATACGTTGAAAGTATATATATATATATATATTCAATGCTTACGATCGATTTTGTTTATCATTTTCGAAGTGTGCGGTGACGTTCTGTCGCGATGCGAAGAAGATATGCCGAATGAGAGAGATAGTTTGTCGTGACGATAGTAGATCGGTAGCGAAAGGTCACGGTCGTCGACCGTCGTGCTGGATCTTGGAACCAACCCTGATGTGAACGACGGATCACGAGGGTCCTCGAAGGCAATCGAGGACACGATGGTCTTCCTGGAAGACCCGAGGATGATCTTCGTGGACATGAGACTCCATGCGACCAGCACGCCGACTTGCACCCCCACGCGTTACCTCCATCGGAAGTACAGGCCGCAGAACAACAACAACTGTACGATTTGTCGTATTACAGAATTCAATAGCGAGCTTGAAACTTATCTTAAAGACATTTTCCACTAGATGAAGATTTCCCTTCCTCAGCGTTGAAAGATTTTGCGACAATTGAATTTAATTGTCGAAAGAAGGACGCATATAAATTTCAAATGTAGCCAGCTTACCGGTTGAATTTCGCGATGATTAAGTGAAGTTATTGAAAGTATGACGCGCGTTGGATTTTGAAATTCAACTTTGAGTTGAATTTGAATTTAGAGAGTTTCTCGATTCAAAATCGGTATTCTTCGGTATCGTTGGTAATTGAATGATGGACTTCTCTTGTTTTTTTTACAGATGCAGACCTTCATGGCGAGGTGGACGGACCGGACCTCAGCGGCGACGATAGGAGTATCAATAGTGATATTCAAGACGCCACTGAAGCGAACCTCGATCATGATTCCATGGACTCGGACAGGGAAGCTCTCAATTTGGTTAGTACAACTTTCTTCTTTCTTATTTTCGCTTTTTACCATTTCGAGCCATATCCAAATTATCTTTCCTTCCAAAAAAAAAAATCGAAAATCACAGCTTTCGATAGTATATTCCTCTTATAAAAAAAAAAGATTTATTTTTACAAAAATTTTTGTAAGAAAAATTCTTTTTACAAAAATCCTCCTTCTTTTTCATTCTCATTTACTCGAGTCTGGTAAAGAATACTCAAGCTAGTATTTAATCGAGAGTCGTAGCTTCCGATGACACTTCCCCTTTTTGGAAAAAAAAGGGAAAACAACAAGAGAAGAAACGGAAACTTTTGTCTCGAAGCGACGACGAGAGTGCTCGACATTTTACAGTCATTCGTGAAAAGCGCAAAAAACGTTCAATATTTGGCAAATAAATAAAAGAAGCCACTATGAGATGGACGACAAGAAGGGGCGGATAGAGAGGGATATAAGGTTTTATAAAACACAAAAGCACAGGATGGACAGTAGTGACCAATATCCTGACTTGGTCGAGTGTAAACACGTCTTTGTTCGACGCCGTTTGCTCTGTAACATTAGGGAGGGTGGCTCTTCCGCGATTTCTCCGATCTCTGCTCCCACATAGAATTCATTCCATGAAAATCGATTATTTTCTTCTTTTTCTGTTTTTTTTTTTTTTTTCAAATTCACAAATCATGTGTCCTCAATTCATGTTTAAAAATTTATATTTCTATGCTTCGGGTACTTGTCGAAATCAGAAACGGGACAGTTAATATTTCGTGCTTCGGAGCAGTCTTGTTTGTAAATATTTTTACGATTACTACAAACGATAAACTAGAGACAAGTTTATATTCAACGCGTTTCTCGGCGAATAAAAGTCTTTCTAGAAAAATTCATATGGCATTTTTCTAGACGTTCTGAAGCTGAGATTAGAATGAAATATTTAAGTAGCAATCTGTTCAAATACATAATTATTACGTATAAGTGCTCTACGGTTATGAATTGTGATTTACTTCAAGCTGAAGTTATTTCAACATACACGTAAATATACGCAGTAAACGTAATCTCAGTAATCTCAGATCACCTAGTGATTAACTTGCGCTAAGCTCAGATTATTTTCTTGAGAACACTTATATTCGTAGGGATTTGCGATCTGCTCGATTTTCGATTAATTTTCCTTAACGAAAAGAATGTACTCCAGGTCACGGACGTGTCGCAGCGGAACAGCAGCAGCGGAACTAGCGGCAGCGCTTCCTCGCCTAGTTCCGGGGTGAGTAGTCAGTTAACTGGAAATCATCAACAGCAGCAACACACAGCAGGCCAGTCGAACAACAGCAACTCGCAAGCAGCCCTGGCTGCTCAACTAGTCAGCCAGCAATTGCTGATGCACGGATCTCTCGGTGCTCTCGGACCGCAGGAAATTCAAGCACTTGCGTCAACGTTCCAACAGCAACAGCAGTCGCTGCAGCAACAGCTGCAGCAACTAGCAATGTTTCAGCAAGCCAACTCCGCCGCGGCTGGCCAACTTCCGGCCCAGGCGCAGTTCTTCTTGCAGAACCAGGTTCGTGAAAACTTTCAGATTATTTTCACTAGATTAGCCGATGCGCTGACTGAAGTACGAAAGGAAAACTTTTGTTGCTGGTGCGATCGGTTGGGAAATCGGTTAATAAGAAAATAAGTTTAAAAGAGGGTTCTTATATTGTTTAAAGGTCTACGAGAATTATTAGATCAACGATTATTAACCCTCAGATAATACCATCGTTGGATCACCGAGTTTAGATTATATTAATTCATATTAGATCGCTCAAATTTAGAGTATTTGATGTCATTTTATGCTTTACATCTTTCGTGACGAAGATTAGTAATAAAATTATATTAAATTAAAAATCTCACAATTACATGACCTAAATTCTAAATTGTTACAATCTCCAATGTCCCAAAGATACCGATCACGATATCAAGAAGGCACAACTAAAAATTTTGATTTCATTTTGTACTGAATATTCTTCGTAGAATAGAAATTAGTAACAGTATTACCGACTGAATTAAAAATTTCAAATTTGAGTAATTTATTCGAAGACATTATTGTTATAATTAATTGAAAAGGATATCCTACCGTAAAGCAACGTAAAAGAATTGAAACAACCTCTAGAAATGAAACACATTTCACAAGGCAGATCAGTGTTCTCTCATCCAGCAACAAAATTTCCTTCTCTTCGTCTGACGCGGAAAATCAGACGTGTTTCTTATCGCTGGCCAAAAGAATTATGACAATAGCGAACAAATGCATCCCCATGTGCGCTCGAATTTCGACGCCATTGTTCTCCGGCATCGGGCATCGGGCACTCCGCGAAATTACCGACTCGATGCGAATTCGATTCGAATTGTCGTCGGCTAGGCGGTGGAGGTAGATGAGCGCGAGTCTCCAAAGAGGACGTTCCACGCGGTATCTGATCGACCGCTCGAAAAGAAGCAGACGTCTTATTCTTCGGGGACGGTTCGCTTGATTTGACGCGGAGATAGCCGGCTGGAGATGTCACAAAGGGACAAAGAGGGTTTCTGCTCGTTTGGCCTCGCGTTTCCTCCCTCGCGGACGTGCTCTTTGGGATGCCACCGTGGAAAATCGTGATTGATCGAATAATTAGAATTTGACGAGTCAAGCACGTCGCCAAACAGCAACCGGTTAAAATTCCGCGAACAAGTCGGCCTTTCTATAGAGTTCGTGATCTTTTGATGATCGTGCTCGTCAAATTAGAATTTGTCAGCCTTCGATATAATCTCAAGGATAAATCGATTTTCCTAGTAGATTTTTTAGAAATGTTCTTTTCATTTGCATTGTGAAGAAATCGAATCGAATGATTAGAACACGATAAGGATGAGAAAGAATTTGCCAATTCTCCAATTAAATTTCAAGAGTTGCACAGATTTTTCTGTAGATCTCTCTGTTTTGATTGTAAAGAAACTAGCTTCATCGAACTGATCAAATGATTAAAATTTACCGACCATGGGAAAACATTTGCCTGTCTCCCGTGAAATTTCCATAAATGAGATATTCCCATGATCTTCCTAAAAAGAAAAAAAAGATTCTCCGTTTCTCTCACAAAGAAACTCACCTACGTTCAACCTTCCGTTTGTGAAGATAAAAAAGTGATCGGTAAATACGTTGATCAGCTGCGTCCTCGTAAAGAACATTCCCCGAATATCGTTCGTTTTGTGTGTTTTGTCCCGCGAGATCCTGCGGATCGAAGTAAGAAAAATCGATATATCCGGGGATACGATGAAAAACGATCCTCCTTCCTGGATCTCCGCCGATTTCACCTCCTCCCTTTCTCCCCCCTCCCCTCCCCACTACCATCGAGAAACGTTGAATGGAATCTTTCGGGGTCTCCTTCGGGGGAGTGCATTTACGAAAAAATTTCTATAGATTCCATCACGTGAAACGCGTGCACGTTCTACGTAACCTCCTAGGAAAAACTAACAAAACGACTTCGAACTTGAGCAGATTTAATGGCCGTGGTATACGTAGCTGCGAGGATTAAAGCCTCGGGTCTTCCGTGTCTCCTTTGAAAGGTGCAACAAGGAGATCCCTTCGGCACCTTGCCACGGGGTGCCTTTTGTTACCTCACACGTGGCCAGGCTGTTTCTTTTCTCCTTTCCGTGCCCCTCCTTCCCCTTGATCTTCCATCTTTCTTACCCCGTCGTTTCGTCTTTTTCTTTTCGTTTACATCGAGTCGAGCAAGCCTCCCCTTTCCTCCCCCTTTTTTTTTCTTCGCTTTCGAGAACAGTCGCGGGATTAGAAACGCGTACACACCACGTCGTTCGTCGCGCAACCCTTCTTCGAGTAGGTTGCAACCTGCATCAAGGATTCGGGTCCCTCCGGAGGGTTACACGCATGATGTAAGAGCATCGTCGTTCGTAACGCGGATTTGATTTCTCTCGAGCGTGTTTTAGGCTGCCAGCTGACACGTAACATCTCAAGTTTGGAACGATTCGTAACATTGATGTTCTAACTGTGTAGAGAAATTCGGGTCGATGGAGTATTATTTAATTGCTATGGCCCATTCTATTCTAATTATTACCGAAATCTATCTTACCGATGACTATCCTGACAGACTGAACATTTAGAATGACTCTCTTTCTAATTTCAGTATTTTGGATATTTTGTATATTCTTTCATATTTAATTCTGCACTCCAGAAATTTTTTTATAAATGCATAAAAATCCGAAATAAGCCATTAGTATTTATTTTCTGTCAAAAATTACAAGTATTTCGCTTTTATATCTGATGACTAAAAATTCTACGAATGAAGAGATGATTACTTCCTCGATCATTCATTCTAAATTTTATTCCATTACATTAATGAACTATAATAATACATATAATAGGATAATATTACACTACCAATAATTAAAGTAGCAAATGTAACATTCTTAAGAAAAAAGAGAAATAAAGATTAATACGATCGAGAGAGAGAGATCGAAAGTTTCGATTTCCTGAAACGTAAATCTTTCGACTCGCTTTCGAAAATTCCTTATCATAATCAACGATCACGCAGATTAGCTATGCACCGTGATTTTGCATTTGTATCTATTACTTTCACCATGTACATATTTCCCAGATACAGGAAATGAAACGTATGCCATGCTTTCTAGTTTTGATATTCGCGTGATACAGGTGAATTTTAAGTGTTCGAACCTGGCGTGGTGGCACGTGGCGGTATTCAAAGCACCCTTCGCAGGGTGTCTTCGCGATCGACAATAAGCATAAACCGGCTTGACACGCGACCAATCCCTAGAAACCCTTTTCCTCCCCGGGCGGTTTATTCTCGTAATCGAGCATCTGGTTAAGAAAAGGGTGAAGATAATCGATCGGTTCGCGACCGCCCCTTCGGCGACTTCTCTCGTACCTGTCCACGGGCGCAACACGTGTCGCCTTCCCAATAGAAACCGCTTAATCCACCGTCGCGTGGAGCTACGCGGTTTAACGTGTGCTATTTATCTCCAATAAGGGGTTAGAAAGATCACCATGATCGATAACTGAGCGATTTTTCAAGGGCGATACAGAGAGGTACTAAGACTCGCAGGCTTTCAAAGAATCGAGACACTCTCTTCAGCGTTGTCACTTTCTTTTCCTCATTTTCCAATCCAATTGTGGCATGTAGAGTGTTCTGCGAACTGTAGACAATTGGTGGATGTATAAAAGAATGACATTTTTTTTTTTCATTTAAGACTTCGTTTTTAAGAAGATCGAGCTTGAAAATTTATCAAGTATAACACTCGAACTTAGTTAATTCTGCGTAACATGATCGAAAGTTGTATTTACAGCTTCCAAGTGTGAATCATATCAATTAAAAAAGTATGAAAGTAATTCTACGGAAATAGAATAGATTTAAAGTTAAAGTTGCGTCTTTTACCGTAGTCAATATTAATTGTTAGTTGTGTAAAAAAGATACGATCAATGGTGGTCAACCGTCTTGCAGGGGCTGTTGCAGAGCGGTGGCTACTCCTCAAGATCCAGTCATCCGCGCTCACAGTCCACGCAGGTACGACAGACCACAAAATCTATTAAATTAACTCCTTGAAGGCTCAATGAATTTTTTTTATTTTGTTATTACGCTACAGTTTATAAATTCTTAAAAAAATATATATATATACATCTTCTATAATAAATATATAACATTATTGTTCAGACCATTTTCTAATGCATTGCTAATAGTTTCGTCTAGAATTTTCTAAACCAGGCATGATTTAGGTTCCTTATCAGCGTGAAGAAATTTATTCTTTTATTTTGAATATTCATGAACAAGCGCAATAGCTTGCTCACTTTTTCATACTGGTAAAAAGTCTTAACGTCCGCCATGTTTCATCGCGATTATTGTTGCTATTCTTAAATAACCTGAGAGACCGTTGATCTGCGTTATGCTTACAATTAGTGTTTTCGAAAAACGTTTGGCATCGATCGTTCTATCGATGTTTTAATCTGTTCGTTTTTTCGTCGAATTATGTCACAGCAATCAGACAGCCCGTAAAGTGATTAACTAAAACCTACCAACAAATTAAGCTGTAAGGGAAACATTAGAGTTGAAAGTTCCAATAATACAGAGTGTTACGGCGCGATACGTCAAACGATGTGATCGCGATTCGGGGTGGCTAACGACCGTGTGAGAACTATGTTAAAAAGGTAAAAACCTTTATGAGATGAACGATTCCGATGTAAGATCGAATATCGCTAGCAGTGGACTGTATTTAATGAAATTTGTATGTCCCGAGTCGCAGTGATACGCACTGACGACGAATTGTGGCGGTATAGCAAAGAACTATAACCCGAATATGTCGATATAGCAAAGAAATAACTATGTCCGAATCGCAGTGATACGCACTGAGATGAATTGTGGCGTTGTAGAAAAGAATTAACTATAGCCCGAATGTATAACGATAACGCACTCTGGTTAACTATAGCGAGCCTGTTTTATGTCATTTTGCAAGTGGCCTCCAGCCAATCATTTTAAAGCGAGATACGTTTGACTTGCTTAGTGAAGGTCAGTTAAATCGAGACATTGACCGAACGATAGATATTACTGTTCCTGGAGGACACCAAACAAAACAGGCTCGCGGGTCGGCGACCGAAAATCAAAACAATATTTGCGCGCGATATGTTTGCGCGAGGAAGAAGTTTCTTGCCAGCATGAAAAAGCGGGCTAAGCATAATTACAAACGTAACAATAAGTTTCTTCATGCAAACAAGAAGTCTAAATCGCCTTTTTCCCAGAGGATTCTGGCACCGATTATCCAACGAAAATTTCATCTCGCGAATATTTCGTGGATCATGGAAAACGCCCGAACACAAAGCATTGAAAAAGTAAGAATACACAATATTACATTAATAATCACATGGTACAGTTCACTGTTCACGATTTTCGATCTGATTGGGATCGTTTTGCTGTATCGATCACTATTCACCTCAGCGCCTCGAATCGGATCTATAATATTTGATCCATCGAGCCACAATAATTATACACGTGAAATTCTCTAGGTAAACGTAATGTCACGGGGGCAAAGCCTAAGGAGATGATTTAAAAAAGAAAAAAAGAGTCCCTTAACTGTATACTTTCTTCATCGTACTTGAAAAATGAAAAGAAGGCGAAAAAGAAAGAAAGAAAAAAAAAGAAAATTCAATTATATGTTGTCAGGTACAGCAGGCAGTGGCACAGGCAGCTCAGCAATTGCAAGCTCTGCAGAAGCAACAGGCTCTTCAAGGTAGCGGAGGCTTAGTTGGTCGAAGTCTGAGCCAACAAAGGTCACCACCACCGCCTGGAACACCTCCAGCGGTGAAACAACCGCCACCAAGATTAGAACCATCGCCGGAGGAGACCACGGACCTTGAGGAATTAGAACAGTTCGCCAAGACCTTCAAACAGAGGCGGATCAAACTTGGCTTCACCCAAGGCGACGTTGGACTCGCCATGGGCAAACTTTATGGCAACGATTTCTCCCAGACGACGATCTCCAGGTGGGCAATTCTCGTAATTACGAACGGGGCGAGGAACTAAAAGATTGCTACATCCATTTTACGACTCGATTGTTTCGCTCTGTTCACCAGGTTCGAGGCGTTGAATCTATCGTTTAAGAATATGTGCAAATTGAAGCCCCTTCTGCAGAAATGGTTGGAGGATGCGGACAACTCGCTGAACAACCCGAATTCACTTTCGAACCCGCTTACAACGCCGGAAGCGATAGGTAGACGACGGAAAAAAAGGACGTCGATAGAGACCAGCGTGAGGGTTGCTCTGGAGAAAGCGTTCGTGCAAAACCCGAAACCTACTTCGGAGGAAATTACCGTGTTAGCGGATACTTTGGCCATGGAAAAAGAAGTAGTCAGGGTATGGTTTTGTAACAGGTGAGCATAAAAAACAATTTTTGTTTTTCCAAAATTATGTATGTATGTCGTCCCAAAAAGAGAATTGTCAATCCTCTAAAGATTAATATGTGTTATGTGTAGTTGAAGTAATTTTCAAAATAGAAATCTTAGAATTAAAACAATTGTGTGATAAACAAACATATGTGTTTGTGTTTCTGCTTCGATAAAACTAAAAAAAAAAAACTTGTCCGTTTGTAATAATTGCGAAAGCAATAATTGCACGTAAGATCAATTTAATAGTTCTTGATAATAATCACACTGCATCGTAAGATGAAATTTTCATGCATTTATAGGAAATATTGCACACGATACATTCAAATTCAAATATTACCAAAAAACCAAGGTTCCATTTTTCAAATGACGTTCTCAGAGAACGTGAAACGAAACGGAAACATGAAATGTGAGACATAAATGTTTGTGATACGAATGCCTTCAGAAAAACGTTCTCGAAAATATAAATAAAAATCCGTAGACTTGTACATTCAAATTCAAATATTACCAAAGGAACCAAGGTTCCATTTTTCAAATGACGTTCTCAGAGGACGTGGAATGAAATGAAAACATGGAATATGAGTATATAAATGTTTGTGATACGAATGTCTTCAGAAACGTTCTCGAAAATATAAATAAAAATCCGTAGACTTGTAACAACGTATAACGAAGCGCTTCATCGCCGCATCCCGCCTCATTGCAGACGACAGAAAGAGAAAAGGATCAATCCACCGACGGCTGCGATGGGCAGTCCGACAATGGCATCGCCAGCACCTTCGGTCTTCGGATCACTCGCCAGTAGCATATCTGGCAGCCCTCTTGCTC